GAAGCACTGATCTGTAAACAGAATCCCGAGAGGATGTTTACCCAATCACTACAATCTTTGCCTATTGAAGTCTAAAGCTAACCGTTATCTTCCCCTCCTATCTGTATAAACTACCCCTTAACGTAATACTCTACCTTGAATGACCCCTGGACCTTATAAAGGGTGAACCTTACTGTTGAATAAAAAATGGTCATCTTTAAAGATACTGAAAAACAAAAGTCTTTTCCCCTGTACCGCTCCAGTAAGTATCTGACGCATGCTATCCTCTATCGTTACAAGAGTCAAGACAAGTCTGCTGCCATATATAGAGTACAAAAGCGTTTCCGCGTCCTTGTGGGTGATGAACTGTTTTCCACTATACAATCCTTATTCCCATAACTAAAAATGTCTTTTGCTGCTCTGTCGTTATTTCAAGGGAGAGTGCTCAGACGAATTACATTCCTTAGTTCCACCAATTCTAACCCCCCTCCCGGCTAAGATCCACCATGCCACGCCCATTGTAGCGAACCACCCACATTCCCTTCGTATTCCATTGCTGAGATATAAGTTCAACTCGAGTCGCTTCATCCCACGAACCACTGCTTTGTGGCACCGACTCCCAAGAGGATGCTTCCCCGATCATTAAATTCTTAAGCTGTTCAAATCTAAAGTCAAACGTTATCTACCTCACATATCTCTATAAACTGTGCCTCTTACTCTGTAACCCTCTACTTTGAGTGGCTATTCGGCCTTGTACAGGATGAAAATCATCGTAAAATAAATTCTTAAGAGTTCAATTTTCCATACTTTTTTTTTTTTTTTTGGCATGGAATATTTTTTTGGCTGTCTAACAAAAATCTTCCGATTATCACCGTCATTTAAGAGTCCGCTCCGAATAACAACTGTTAATTAATAGTCAGTAATTACTAGTTACTAATTAATTACTAATTATTAGTATATTTTATTCATCTCTCTTGGCTTAAATAATGGTTTGGCCGACGTCACGTACATTTCTCCTATCAATAGAACAACCCTTTAAATCCGACAGAATTAAATACATCATAAGTTTTATCGTTTTATATCGAATAAGAATAAATAAAGAAAACGAATGGCTGTCAGGTAACAGATATATTTAGTTGGAAACAATTATTCTTATCATCTTCCGACCTCGTTCATGATCGTACCATCCACAACTCCGAGCCAAAAAAAAAACACGATCGTCTATAGCCGCTATCAAGTCTTACTTCCTTGCTTCTCTCTAATAAATTTCGAAAAAAGTGTCTCAATCTGACTCCTCAGCTTAACAAAAGAATTGGCCTTTGTTCGTCATTGAATCGATAGATAACAAAGTATTTCTCGGTAGATTCATCGTTAGTGACAAAAATTGGGTTCTCTGTCCAACAAAAATGGAGAACCTATTACCAAATGCAGATTTCTTCTTCTACTATATGTCGCTCTCCTTCAGGAAATAGGCGATCATGGATCTCCACAACTTCCTAACTCGTGTCGCTCTTAAGTGTTTTTCTCTATTAGCTAAGTTCCGATATCCAGCCATATCTCCTCATTACATAAGTGGCTCGCTGCTTTTACCTATCTCTTTTACGCTCAGTATTCCCCGTGAGGGTTAAGTTTTCTAAACCCTCCTTCCTTATCATATACCCAAGGAATTCAAGCTGTCTTTTCCTGATTTTGAGTATTCTTTGCCATTTTCTTTAAGACTTCCATGTTGCTTAATCACTCCGTCCATAGAATTTCCAGTATCCTTCTTTAGAACCATATTTCTGATGCCTCTAGTTTTTTTTTTGTTTTGTTTTTTCCTCATTCTTAGGGAAATTGTCCAGCATTCTCTGCGATTACAAGAGGATTAATATCGCCTAGCAATCCAGGACTGTTTTCTTTATTTCTAATGAAATGTCTCAGCTCCTTTCTTACCGTTTGGAATGTTTCTTTCGCCCGTCCAATGCGTACTTTGGATCTCGGTGTCACATTTCCACCCTCTTTTAAAAAGCTTCCCAGATATTTGGACCTCGCACCTGATTGATGTTTATATCTCCAATTCGTAATTCACATCTTGGGTTTTTTCTCTTACTGACTATCATACTTTATGTCTTCTTGCAGTTGACTGTCAGTAAACGAGGCCTACCCACTAAAAATAAAACATTATACTCAGGGTTCACTGGGATATGAATAATTTCGTCATCATGAAGTTCTAATCCAAGTCAAAACGATAGATTCAGGGATTGGTTCTCATCAACTGGAAAAATTTACACGCAATTAAGGGAAAAAGTCGCACCGGAAAGGTTTGTTTTGTCTTTCATCATTTCCCCCCCCCCAAGCAAGGCAATAAAGCCACTAAGACGAAAGGGTTAACTCAGTGTTATAGAATATGAGAAAAACTAGTATTAATGAGAGAGAACAATAAAAGAACTGGAGTTAAGAAGACAGAATATAACGATTGCTATCACATTTCAATTTTTGAAGAGCAAAGGCAATAAAGCCACTAAGATTCAAGGGGTTACTGAGTGTTAGAGAATATTAATTATTAACTACTATTAATGAGGACAATAAAAGAACTGGAATTAAGAAGACAGGAGATAACGGCTGATATTACATTTAAATTTTTGAAGATCAAAGGCAATAAATGCACTAGGATGAAATTATCCCATTTTGTCGGAGCTGCTGCCATGTACCCAGGGTACTTATTACGTTGTTGGTCTTCTTTGTTTCTAATGAATATTTTCTGTCTCAGCACCTTGCTTTTGGAATGTTTCTTTCGCCGTTCAATGCCTACTTCGGATGAATAATCTCGTCAGTCATGAAGTTCTAATCCAAGTAGATTCAGGGATTTGTTTTCATCAACTGGAAACGTTTACACGCAATTAACAGAAAAACTCACACATAAAACGAAACAAAATAAAATTTTAAGTAAGGTTATTTTCTTTATAAAATTAAGCGTACCATTTAGAAAGACCAAACGGGCAACATGTGGCCCGTCTGACGCAGTTTGTCCAGGACTGGTCTAGACTAAGGAAGATTATGTTGCGTTAACCTTTCAATGACAATTATAAATCTGCTTCTTTTTCTAACTAAGCTGCTGAAATATGAAGGATTCTGGAATTACACGACCGGTCCGACAGGTCTGTCCCAATATTGATGTCTAAAGTAAGTTTTGAATGAACTGTAAAAAGGGTTTACTCTACATTTTTGTTTATCTATTTTCTATCTTGTAATTTAATTTTTGATTTCTAGCGACCAGTGTTAACGGCAAGAAGCCTTTTATGCAGTTTAGGATCTGAATAAATTGTAGGTTTTCCTTCGTTAGCGCTTGAGTTCAGGTTAAGGTAATAAGTCTTGACTATGGTCCATGTAACATTACTCGGGTACCCGGGGTTCCATTTTAAAAGGGTTTATTATATTTACGAACGAACATAAATGTTCCAAAGAATTTAGTTGTTAAATACAAGTTTATTTTCATTAAATTAATTTTTCTTTAAAATAAAGCATATATATTTACTATTTCTATGATACAATTCCTAAACTTACCCATTAGTAAAAAATAAAATAAGCTTTTATTTCAGCAGATGGTAATGGGGTCCACCAAAAGCAAAGATGGGTAGAAGTGGTCCATGTTGAGAGCTAAAGGGTTAAGTCGAGGTAAGAAAGGTTAGATAATGATTTGAAGACAGGTGTAACCTTCCTGTAGATTTGAACTGAGGTGTAACCTTCCTGGATATGCGGATAATGTAACGCTTAAACCAGGAAAAGTTATTTCGGAGTGACGAGTTCGGTTCGCACTCGATTCTGTTTCGTTCACTTAGTGCTAATGCCCTTACAAAGCCATGAACACATCTACCCCTATCTATGGATTAAATAGTAGAGTAAACTGGGTCCTTTTGTATTGATGGTAAGCACTCTACAAGAAAAACTCGAAATCTAAAAGCCAGTCTGAGGAATGATGGTCTTCTCAGGGTATAGTGTATTGGGCAAGATAATCCAACGGAACGTACCCTATATCAAGCTGGCTTTTAAATTCGTTCTGCTTCAGTATATGCAGTGCCATTAACGACCGGATAGGTCAATAGACTTATGAAGTAACGTAGGAAGTATGACGTAACACTATCTTGTATTTCTCCTGCCATCCTTCGACACTAGATATCATGGTTTAAGCACAGGTCAAAGTATTGATTTCAAATACTAATTCTGAAGTTTTTAACAGGAGTAGAGGTTTATATCTTGTTTCCTTGTTTGATTGAGTTTCCGGTTCCTTTTACAGACTTTTTATTCTCTTTCATTCTCAGTTGCCCCTTGCATCTTAGTGGCATTATTGCTTTGCTTGGGGTGAATTGAGTTTAAAAAAAAAAAAGATACGTTATTTCAAAGAAGAATGGCGTCTTCATAGCTTTTATTTATTCTTAGCTGGTCCTTTGTCGAACAAAACTAGGCTTAGTAAATATCAGAACCTGCATTGATTCTATTATCTCTTTCCTTAACGACTATGGTAACCAACCACCACTACCACGCACTTCGCCGGCAAATTCCCATTCTCAATTTTAGTCAACGGCCCTGCAATCTCAGTTCTCTTGCCGGCCATTTAATGGCAATGCATCATAATTAAATAGAACGTCAAGTTGATTAGATTCCTTGACCAAAATTACCTTGCTGATTCCGGTGACCGCTTTCAACAAGCCGAACGGTTCTGAAATCGAGTCGTCGCGTTTGGTCGTTACATTAGCAGAGCGAAGTCTAAAGACATTCAGATATAATTGATCGGGGTAAATTGCAAAGAAAAGAAAGGTGAAGAAGCAGAAAGCCGGGTAGACAATCCCGGTCGTAAAAAGGAAGGGATTTCTAACAGGTGGGTGAGATTATATAGCCGGTAATGGTGTCATCAGTACACTGTTGTTATTATCGTCGACGTGCGTGGACGCGATTGGTGACTGTAGACGTTTCAACGAAGCTGAAAATGCAATTGTTGAATGAAAACGAAACGATTAATGCCGGCCATTTTGTAATTATTGAAGCGCTTTTTATGTCTTCGGTGAGCGTTCTCACTCTGTCGAGAGACTTCATTTTCTCTCGTTATCTCTCTCGCTCCCTCAGTGTGGACCCATTAGAAATAACGCTAGATTGCCCAGAAAGAGACAAATATTTTTCCGTTATCGTTTAAAGCTTTTACCGGCTTCCGCGTGAAGGGTGGGCAAAAGTAGGTATCCAGTAATGAAAAACAAAACGTGCGCACAGAACGTATTGATTATACAAACATATTAACTGGTATAATACTTACTGTATAGCGACTTTTGCAGCTCTCTATGTGTGTGTGGATAGATAGATAGATAGATAGATAGATAGATAGATAGATAGATAGATAGATAGATAGATAATGGACAGTCTGAGATAGATAGATAGATAGATAGATAATGGACAGTCTGAGATAGATAGATAGATAGATAGATAGATAGATAGATAGATAGATAGATAGATAGATAGATAGATAATGGACAGTCTGAGATAGATAGATAGATAGATAGATAGATAGATAGATAGATAGATAGATAGATAGATAGATAGATAGATAGTGGACAGTCTGAAATAGATAGATAGATAGATAGATAGATAGATAGATAGATAGATAGATAGATAGATAGATATAGGATTAATGTAAGTAAAAGTTCGTCACTTAGCTGATTGATTTTACCATCAGCATCCCGACTCCAGAGTTTCGTAAGCGGACCTCTCCGTCCACTCTTCAGGGAATATCAGGTTAAAAAAGAATTTAAAACCGCTAAACTTATCGTCAAATATAACAACGGCACCAACAAAATAAAAACTACAGAGGACCAATATTTCATGACGTCAAATGCCTCTTAAAGAACTGCGTTCCTGATCAAAGTAAATTCATAAATAATTATATTGGTCATCCAACTACATGTTTATCTAGACGACTCACATTACCGTAGCTCAATTAAAACCCGTTGAAACAGACACGAAAACCTACCAAACCCCATCCGAAACATGCTAATAGAAAGTACAAGTATAATAGCTTAAACCGCATGTAAAAAAAAAAGATTAAAATAATGGAAGCTCTAATAATAAAAAAAAAAAGGAAAAGCCAACACTTAACAAGATTAAACACAATGCACTGACTGTGTTTGGAAAATTAAATCTTCCTATAACTACATACATACATAAAAACCTACCCATTCTACATTATTCGGACTATTGTCCTCATCTTTGTCGCCATATTTATCACAACGTTTCGGCCGTTGTACGCTCGGGCCTTCTTCAAGTGGTTGGAATTTCGAACTGAACCCTTTATTTCGCTCACTAACCAACGCCTTTATCCACTGTGCCATGTGTCCTTGAGGACATCTGGGTATGAATTTCTGGGTATTATAAACCTAATGTCCTCAGCAATCATTTTTACCAGTGCCATATTGCAATTTTGCTGTTATCATTGCATTTTTTTTTTACCAGAGCTCATATTGCAACTTTGTTGTTATCATTGCTTTTCTCTGGCACTCCTTATTACTGGTTACCATATTGTATTTATTTCTATGCTTGGTCGGCTCAGGAGATTTCTGTGGCCTAGCATATGTGCTGATTCCTTAAGTTTATGAATTTTCCAATGGTGTTCCCTGTCTATAATCTCAACATGATCCCACAGGGGGCGGTGATCTCCCTTCTCTCTCCATATGTGGTCAGCCATGCCTGATTTTTTTACTTCCCTTCGTGTTACAGCTTTCTGGTGTTCTTGAAGCCTTACCTTGAGGGGGCGGCCTGTCTCTCCTTTGTATTCCTTTCCTTTGAAAATTGAAACATTATATAATTACATACATGCAACAAGCTATTTCTTAATTAACAGTTAAAATATTTAATCCTTGAAAATGGCTAAATGTATAGCCGAAAGCGCTCAGAATAAAAGAACATTCGGACAGTTTTTATATAATTTATCAACTGAAAAAAAAATACTTATTAGAACGCTTAAGAAGGACCTTGTCTGTTGTATTCAGTAAAATATCCATGAAAGAAGGATCGCTACCTAAATACACAAATATATATATATATATATATATATGTGTGTGTGTGTGTGTGTGTGTGTGTGTGTGTGTGTGTATATATATATATATATATATATATATATATATATATATATATATAAAGGGAGACATTATAGTTGTTGCAACGAGAGTAATGTGTATATTTTAAAGAGAAAATTATTTTTAATATACTTTAATTTCCATATTTTTGCGACACGTGTTTCGGGTCTTGTGACCTTCATCAGATGAAGAATGGTTATTTCCACATATTATTTAAAGGAAATGTGTTTTCTTATATTAAGTCTTTAAACCATTGTCTTTTGGGTTTAGTAGTAGTCATCTGTGATTCAGATGACTTCTACTACGGGACAGTTTTTTCCACATTTTCGTGCAACTTTCCACCAATTTATTTTCTTTATTTACAAACCTATAAGTGCTGTTCGATAAAAGTGACTCACTGATCTTTTTTACAAAATGTTCTCTTCTCCGATGAAACGAAAGTTGAGCTAAATTCAAAGGATAAGCGATCTAAAATCTGAAGAAGAAGCTTTGAAATCTCTTTGAATTTAGCAGTAAGTACTGTCAAGCATCCGTTCAGTATAATGTTCTGGGGATGCTTTTCTTTTCATGGAACTGGTTTCCTAAAACCTATTGAAAAGACCCTCAGGAGCGAGCAGTACAAGAGAATTTTAGAGTCTTGTCTACTCCCTTCTGTTGAAAGGGTCCAAATCGACCCCATCAAGCTCATTTTTATGCAGGATAATGCTTCCTGTCGCAAATCAAAATTGATGAAGGAATACTTTGATGAGAAGCAGGTGAGTGTTATGACATGGCCACCCCAATCTCCTGACCTCAACCCCATAGAAAACTTATGGAGCATTATAAAGTACAGGTCCTCGAGAAAGCAGTTGAGCAACAAAGAGGATTTGATTGTGAATTTCATATCCGAATGGACTTCAATGCTTGGAGATGAGATTTTCCAGAACAGAACCTAATCAAGTCAATACCAAAAATGGTTGAAAAGGTTATTCAAAATAAAGGAGGACCCATAGATTATTAAATATCTCGAACTATATTACCTATTATAAATAAATTATACCTCTATTATTCTTTATTTAAAGCTGTTCGGTTATGTTTCTATTGATTACTAGTTGCAAGAAATATGTGAGTCACTTTTTTTGCAGAGAGTTTTTCCCTAAATCTCATTTATATGCAAAATTATAATTATCAATAGAATGCCTTAGGTTGAGTAAACTTTTTTACTAAGTGGTCGGGAAGGGGTCTTTATATTAGTAAGATTAAAAATTAGTTTGACCCCAAAAACAATAGGCGTAAAAAATTAGGTGAGTCACTTTTATCGAACAGCACTGTGTGTGTGTGTGTGTGTGTGTGTGTGTGTGTGTGTGTGTGTGTGTGTGTGTGTGTGTGTGTGTGTGTGTGTGTGTGTGATATGATCATGGATTTTATTTATCAAACCAACAGAATTTTATCATTAACTATGTTTTTAGTGGTTACTCATATTTGAGTAGAAGTTCCATTTATTAATTAAATAGTATATTTATTTATTTTCCTCTGCCGGCCTGAATATCCGAAAAATCTCACTAAGCATTGCCATGGGAAATTATTTGTTTATGTTTGGATAGGAAATTAAGCAGATATGAAAATTTCGTGAAATTTTATACGAGCAGGATTTGGTTTAAAGGTACATTTCAAACTTCTGCTTAACCGACGAGGCAGCTCTGTGGCCGAGTCGGTTAAGACACGTCAGATCTAACGACTGTTTCCCTCTGTCTAGAAGGACGTACAATCGACTCCTGTCGGAAACAGCATATCTTTCTTCAATGAATATCCATCCGGTAGACAAAAATGAATAAATATATTGTCTATTAAATAAACGGAACGTCTATGCAAAACAGAGTATTCACTAAAGAATATATATATATATATATATATATATATATATATATATATATATATATATATATATATATTATATTGATTTCTTTTAATTATTTCTTTCTTTGATTTTTTTTTTTTTTTCCTTTTCTTTTTGTTTTTCTCTTCTTTCTTCTTTTAAAGTTTTCCCTTTTCCCAATCATTTTTTCAGTCTCTCCTTCTTTTGTCATCTCTCCGTTTTTCTTCATCTTTCTTTCAATACATTATTTACATTATTCAGGCTATTGTCCTCATCTTTGTCGCCATATTTATTACAACATTTCGGCTGTTGTACGCACCGGCCTTCTTCAGGTGATTGGAATGTCGAACTGAACCCTTTATTTCGCTCACTTAAATTAACAAAGTCTGGGTACTATAGATGCAAGTTTGTCCGAGCATTTACCATGAAAGTATTTATAGAAAAGACACAGGAAATCTACGTTACGCCAGTGGGAAATGTCTGAAGCCGGGATGCCAATAACTTTGCGGATTCTATTTTTAATTTTATCAAGCATCTCTAAACATATAGCATGAGCACCAGGCAAGATTTGGCAGGAATATTTGAAGTATGAACGAATGGAAGACTTATAAATATGTACAATAGATTCTGGTGTGAAAAACTATCTAGTACAACACAGTGAACCAAATTTCCAAGCAGTAGACCTAGTAATTGATTCAATATAATCTTTTTTTTCTTTCATGCCAGCAAGAACGTTAACCCGTGAAGTTGCAACACGTCAATCACCTTGAGGCTAGCATCAGCCATGATGATGAAACGAAGAATGGAGTCTCTCAGATGTGTAATAGAGAGCTGTTTTGTTTTGGGTGCGTTAAAATTAACAAGCCATTCCTTGCCCCACTTAAGAGCAGATTACAGACCTTTTGAGATCAGCTGTCAGTTTAATCTTATCAAACCGATCACACTTACTATTAAGACAGAAGTAAATAGCTGTGTCATCAGCATAGATGCCGAGTTGATAACTTATGACATCAAGTTATTGATGAAAATTAGGAAAAACGTTAGTCCAAGGATAGAGCCCGAGGGGAGGGGAGGGGACATCGGTATTAATACAAAAAGATCTAGAAGAGTTGCCATTCGAGAGAACATTCATCTCGCCATTTGATAAGAAAGACTGAATCAGTTCAAAAAATTGCCCAGAATTGCCATAACCAGTATGTTTGTCAAATTCCTTCA